TTACTGAAAAAAACCATAATTTTCTTTTCCTTTCGACAAAGGTTTATGAAATTGATTGACCTAAAATTTAATAGTAAGAGTGAGGCCTCACCTGTATTATATAGCGAACCATTAAACTTTGCCTTTTTAGTGTTGACTATTATGTTCTTATTTAATCTTGAATTCTGTCAACAAAATCTTGAGTGTGGCATAGCCCAAGATGGAGAATCAAACTTTCCCCTTTCCTCAGTGATAAAAAATATTTATTTTGCTGCGGTTCTAACAATCTTAGCAAAATGCAAGTCCAGCCAGGCTTTAGCAGGCATTGTATTATACATAATTAAGGTCAGGGTGTGGACTTCTTTGGGGTTTTTTTTAAACAAGTCATCAGTTCCTCAAGACCCCTGTCAGCATCCTGCCAGTTCTTTAGTATCTACACAACATTATGAAAGTAAATAAAGAACTTAAAATGAACCACTGTGGAAAGAGTCATACAGTAGCCACTTTGAGTAACTGTGTTGATTTTCAGCATGGAAGTCTTTAATCAGTTGGTTTGTTGATCCTGCCCATTGTTATTAAAACCTTTCTGTGCCATGCTTGCTTGCCAAATATAGTCACTTTAATTTTCATACCCTCTACTGTCTAAATTAAAACCTGAATGCAAGTTATCTTACTTGCAACTCTTCTCTACAAGTTGTAGCTTTGAGCTCTTCAGTTGGTACCATGTTCAACCTCTTTATTTTTTCCTTCCCTTTCTCCCCTCTCTGTATCTCTACTGTGCTTTAGAAATATCACTCATTTCTCAGGCTATTTCTGAAAGCACAAAAGTGTACCTGCTTGCAGGGTAACTGGCAGAATAATGTCAAATCCACCTGCTGTGTCTTAGTCCAGAAAAATAACCCTGCATTGCTTCAGTCTGTGGCAGGAAGGGAAAAAGCAAAGGGCACTGGAGGAGTGAATTCCTGTAGCTACCCAGGGATTGCAGAAGCAATACTGCTGTAGGAAAAAAATGATACAGGGAGAAAGTCAAGTTTCTGCTGTTAGCTTAAGGATGGGAAATTAAACTATTCTTGTACTTGTTGTTGTGATGTACAGCAAGATGAAGAATCTCTCTCCATCTTCTCTGTACCCTGGTAATAAAGGTACCCCACAAAAAAAAACAAAAACAAAAAAATCCACAACAAACACCCCCCCCCCCCAAAAAAAAAAACCAAACAAACAAACAAAAAACACCCTTTTAGAGGGATTGGAGTGGAAATACCTACTTTTCAGTTTTCTTACGTAATGCTGTTTTGCTGTCCAGAGTTTGTATTTTGTAAGGCAATGTTTGGAATCATAGTGCAGGTAAGTCATGGTTTGTGTTGGAATGGAAAAAGACATCTCATCCAACTCTTCCTGCAATGGGCAGGGACATCTTCAACTAGAGCAGGTTGCTCAGAGGCCCATCCAGCCTGACCTTGAATGTTTTCATGGATGGGGTATCTACCACCTTTCTGGGCAATCTGTTCGTGAAAACACCATACCTGTTGTAAAAAATTTCTTCCTGATTTTTTCCTATTTAGAAACACTAGGATAAAAATAAGCCAGGTAGGAAAGTCATGGAGTCATCTTCAGTATCTTGTGAAACTTTCTAAGTAAACACTTGAAAGGGTTACTTAGACATCCTCCATCCTGACCCAAGATGCAACCAAAACCTGATTATGAAACCAACTACATGTTGAGAGGTGAAGGGACAGTGAAGTAGTAACCACATTACTTTTGCTGACTCCTGAAGTTCAGCTTTGAGTTGCCTTCAGTTAACTCCTACGTGCACAGAGGCATGTACACAGTGTTGTCTGGTAACCATCAAATACTTCTGAACCAATTCTGAATCTGAAAAAGCGTATGAAAACTGTAGTGATTTTATTTTTTTTTTTCCCACCACTGTTCTTCCTATTTGCAGACTTTTAGGTCTCAAAACATCTCATGTTTTCCCAATGGACTTAGCTAAAGGATTTCTCTTTAATCTGTACAAAATGAGAGCTTTTACTTTTTTTGCTTTTTTTAGTAGTAGAAGAAATTAGTTGGAGATGTTTCTCCAGATTCTGAGATTAGCCAAAAAGAAGCAAAGGGGAGGAAGGAATGCATGCAAAAACAGGAAGGAAGAGTGAGAGAAAAGCACAGAAGTTTATTTGATTTGTCTAATCTAGAAACTTGATAATGCTTGCTTCTACTCCATAATGTTCTTTATCTTCACAATGTTTTTATCTCCCCAAAGTTTTTTTGTCTCATTTGTACACATCTTATTTTCACTGTCTTGATCACTTTGCTAGAAGTCCTGCATGGTCAGGCACATAACCGTCTGTTTTATCACAATTAGAATGAAGCATATTTTTTGCTTTAATGTTACTGAACCATAAGAATAATTGAGTACCATGAAATGTGTATTTTGGGTAGACTGGGTAGGTAACCCTTCCCAAACTCAAGACCTCTAGACTTGCAAAGTATCTTAACTGAAAACCTACGTATAGAAGTGTTCATCTGATTTTGTAGCTGGACATGCACTGCGTATTACAATGTTAATTATTAATTACAAATTATAATACACTAAGTTTATTCTTCATGCTTTCTTGAGAAGAATGCTGTTTCCATATGCTTTTTGGGACTGACACAATGTATCTCCATACAAAAGCAAAAATCTTCTGATTTTTTTCTTATGCTGGTAATGTTTACCCTCTGACCTTGAAAATGCAATGTCAAGTGCAAACAACAGAAGTAATGGAAACACTTGCTCCAGCCCAGTTTAATCTACCAAAAGCAATTGTCTGTTCATGTTTTGTTTGGGCTACACTGACCTCTCTTCTTGCTGTGTAGCCAGATTCCAGCCTGGTGAAGCCTTTACGTCACAGAAGAAATGCATATTCAAAACTCCTGCAAGCCATAATTTTAGTGCCATAACAATCACAGAAAATTTCACATGCCAAGAGCTTTTTCACAAGGTCCTGAGCAGTTCGAGCTTCACCTTCTTCTATCCCTTCACACTCAGGGACTTGGCTATCATCTTAATTTTCTGAAAAGAGAAGGGATGATTGGGAGATAGAATTAGTATTTCTTCTCTGGTACAGCACTGTGGTTTAGAGTCTATTGCATTCTATGCATCTACTTCCTTTTGCTCCCAGAGAGGCTGATATTTCTGGACAGCCTTGTGATGGATGCTGTCACTTCAAACTCTCCAATTTTACACCTGCTGCATTTTCACCAAAGCCAAAGGTTGCTACAAGCCTTCACAGGGAATGGTAGTCCAGATTCAGATGTCAAAATCTCTCTTGTTCTGGGAGTGTTCCTTCTTGCCTGAAAAACATACTAGAGGAATATTCTTCATTTTGGGAAGTGGAGGTGGAGTTCCTATTCTAGTCAGTGGAACCTGAACAGAAACTTGGTTGACTTGCTGCTTTGTGGTTCACTTAGTCTGAGCTGAATTGCTCTCCAAGCATCATTGATTTAATCTCAAAATCTATTTAGTCCTTTTTTGGTTGGGAATGTTGCCCAGGAAGAGTGAAGAGATGAATGAATGTTCAGGGAATGCCAATTGAAAAACTAGGCCATTTTTAATTGAATATTGTTTCTTTATACATGGTATTTGCTATGCTTTTATGAATTTAAGAACAGTAGAATTATATGGAAATGCTGTCTCTAGCTTTTTTTCAGAGACGTGGCATGAGACTAGGTGCATCTTTGGTCTGGCAATATATTCATGTGTTACCTGAGCAGTTTGCTGCTGGTAAACTTGTAAATAGTGAGTGTTGATATATCCACACAGGAAAACAAGAATAATTTAAGTGATAGCTTTTAACTCATTTTTTTTTTTCTGCACTAAGGCCTCTTTTTGCAAATCTACAGGTGAAACATACTATTCATACATAAAATGGCATTTATATTGTTGCAGAATATTAATATATTACTTGTCTTTCAGTCATTGACTAATGACAGCAGATCTGGTAGATCTAAGTGGGATCAACACACTTCCATAGAATTTATAATTTTATGGGTTTGGGTGGTAAATATCAAGATTTTGTGTGTTTGTTACTGTTGTCTGTAGCTTTATAAAGTAAACATCATTTATCTCTACTATATGCTTTTTCCTCAGTTGAAATGTACAACGAGCTTATGTTGTATCACATTGGAAAGAAAATCTTGATAAACCCTTCCACAGGAAGTAGATTTCCAAAGGAAATTTCTTGGTCTGAAACAAAATTTTGTTCACTTACAAAACATGCCGCAAGTTTAGCTCTGTAAGAAAAGTGTCCTGAAGAGATGTGAACAATAATTTAGAGTTCACTCGTTAATAGTTGCCAACTTGAAGGACAGCAAAGTTCATGGTAGTACAGAGAAGAGCAATTAGAGTGATCAATGATGGAGCAACTACTTTGAGGAGAGACTAAGAAGGCTGAAACTCCTGAAAAAGTGGAGAAGGCTGGGGGCTGTGGCTATATATAAAAGCATGAAGGTAGTGGATAAGTTGAATGCATTAGGTGTTCACCAGAACTTGAGACACCTGAGCTAGCAGGCATTCGCTGTAACTAATAAATTAATTTAAAATGGATCACGTATTTCTTTAAGTAGCAGGTGGTGAACTGATGCAGCAAGAATTCTGAAGGCAGAGTATCAGCAGGTTTGAAAAGGTATTAGACAAATTCATATGCAATAAGCCCATAAATAAATAGAGACAGGAACAACTGAGAATGTATCTCCAACACCCCTGTGGTTACCAGTGTGGATTCTGAGCAAGTACAAGAGAAACAGATTGGAAGAAAGAGCTAGGCTTGTGTGTTTTTCTAAGTGGTGTTTTCCTTTAAAATTGTCAAGAGAAAAATGTGGGTCTGATGCAGAAGATAATTTCCTATGCTTTCTGTTTCTGTGCTTCTATGGTTTCCTCTTTATTTGTAAAGAATCAGTTTTCCCATACAAATTTTACTGGTTTTTTTCATATGAGATATCCTGAACTGACCATAGATATAATTTATTTCTTTCATGTTTTACAGTGAACAACCCTATACCTTCCAACCTGAAGTCAGAAGCTAAAAAGGCAGCTAAAATATTACGAGAATTTACAGAAATAACTTCCAGAAATGGACCAGATAAAATCATACCTCGTGAGTAAAGAAAATGTTTTGATTCAGCTAAAACCTTCACCACTCCCCTGTGTTGCAGTCATGCTCTCTTTACCAATTTTCTCTACTTTCACTGACCACAGCTTAGAGATGAATGAAGATTTTGGGTGCCATAACTTCTTTGAAAATATTTTGGAAGGAAAGGGTTTCAGTTTGCTGTATTCTTGGCAGATGTTATTTACTGGGAGAGATCTTTTGAATGTTTACAACCAAAGGGTATCTGCACTGGAAGGATGAATGGATGGACTGTCTCATGCCCACACTCTAAATGTATGTTCTTAAGACAGAACCTGGAATAGTAGCTCCAGTTCTTAAATATCTGTATTTATGAAAATTAGCTAGATGAAAATAAGTTGAAGCAAAGAGATTGGGGTGCTGTTCTCATCTGATTCTGGTTAAGCACTCTTGTTTGCTGCTATCCTCTTTATTTTTGCAGTTGTTACTCAGTGTTTCTCCTAGTGTCTTCCTCCATCTGGAGTTGCTGTTTGTGGCTTTGAATTCATAACTGTTATTTTCCGGAAGGTCTGCAGTAAGACTTGCAGAATGATGACACTGTATTTGCCACAAACACTGCCTAATGATATGAGCTGATTAGGCTGTTGTACGTGTTGTGTTGCACTCCTTCAGAAATTTGTGGAGACAAGATTGTTAGCTGTTCACTGCCTGTTTTCTGTTTATCATGCTAAGAGTACTCACAATTTGTGTGGCACTAAGCAAACTAACTCTTTATGAGCTAATCAGGACAGGTGAAGGAGCTGTGGCAGTATACAGATTGTCAGAGGCTAATGTGACCTGCAGCTGGCTTTGTGGTTCACTTTGGAGTGCAGGTGTCATTATCAGTTCAACTTTTTTCACTTTTCTTTAAGCTCTTGCTTCGATTATTTGACTCTTATGTGTTCAAAATTGTTAAATGTAGAGTTCTGTTTTCCCCTTCTCTTAGAACTTCTCTTGCAAGATAATGAATAAATGATTTTGCTGTTTCAGCTCATGTAATAGCTAAAGCCAAAGGCCTTGCAGTTTTGTCCGTTATCAAAGCTGGATTTCTGGTGACTGCTCGGGGAGGAAGTGGAATTGTATTAGCTCGTCTTCCTAATGGAAGTAAGTGGATATTTTCCTTTTGTACTTCATGGGAGAATTGAAAGAAATAAAAATATTTTTCTTCATCATTTCTTTTCATAGCACAAAGTGGAAAATGTGTGAGGAGTCAGGCCAGTAGGTGACAGTGCTTTATTTTAAAGCTGTTTTCAAATTTTTTTACTTCTTTTAACCAGATGCAAGTGCTTTCAGTGTTTTTGTGTAAAAGGATGAAATAAAATAACATGTAGGTTAAAACTCAGTAGAAAAATTAATTATATCCAATGGGAACAACTGTGTGATAAATAATTTGTAACAAAGATTTGTTTGGATCATAAGGATTTGTATTTCTTAAATTCTTTCCTGTGGGATGAGGCATTATAGTTACATGACTCTATTGTAGTGATTTTGAACATAGTTTTAAATAAAGAATTTGTTCATGGTTTTTAACTGTAATAATAAAATTAGTCTTTTATGTGACGTGCCTAAAATTCTGTAAATTTATCTTGTTTTGAATGACAGCCTGGTCTGCTCCTTCTGCAATAGGAATTGCTGGCCTTGGTGGTGGATTTGAAATTGGAATTGAGGTATGATTTTGCATTTGAAATACTTGTTGGTAACTTTTTTTGCAAGAAATTAAAATGCAGTAACAAAGATCTAAATGCTAGTAAAAGGGTAGAATCTACTTTTCCATACGAAAAAAAAGTTATTATAAAAGACACTTATGCAAGATAAACAAAATAGGGGATTTGATCCTATCAGTCTAATTGTCTGGAGACATTTAGATGAAAAGAAGTGGCATAGCACTTGTTTCCTTGATTTCGCACTTCTAGAAACTTTCACTTATGGAAAACTTCCTGACAGTGTTCACATATAAGCCAATAAGTATCCTATACTTAATACTGTATAAAATGCTTTGTTAAAGAGCACAAGGACTCCATATGGCAAGAAACAGTGAAAGGAATTGAAGGTGGAGTAAAATGACACTTGTGACCACTGACCATGACCCTTCAGTCTGAGAGCACCAAAACTAGTGGTGCCCCTTCTGAAGGATTGTTGCAGAAGAGGAACCAGTTTCCAGACAGCAGAAATGGTTAAGTAAAGGACTCTCAACATGTTGAGAGGAATCCTGGTGAGCTGAGTCCTGTCAGTGCTCTGCCTCTTCTTCCCATTTCTTCTTTCTCACAGTTCCTTCACACTTGTTTGTTTTCATCTTTCCTTCTCTTTCCCACCCTAGTCTCCAGACTAGACCTTCTCTTTTCTTTCTGTTTAGCTTCTGTTCTGCTTATTCCCAAAGAATTTCAGAGTTACAATATGTTGCCATCAAGATCTCTTGCAGTGGACATTCTGCTCCCCAGAAGAATCCACATATAGCTGATCTGGATGGTCCACGTCAGCCCCCAGCACACCTCCTACAACTAACCTGCTATCCCTGTCTTGGCAGCCACTCAGCCAGCACTCACATAACGAGCAACAGATCAGTATTTAATTGTATCTTTGTTTTTCACTGTGTGATCTCAGCCATTTTTGCAGTGCACTTTTTAAAGGATCCTGTGAATATAAAATCATTACTTTTTGGGAGGGATTTTCTTTGATTTTCATGACTACATAATCTGATTGCATTATAAAACATTCAGTTTGAGCCCCAGAGTTTTTTTTCTGTGGGGTTTAAGGTTGGTTTTTTTTCCTTTTAAGACAATTAAACAAAATCTTCATATGCTTTGAATAATCTATAAAAATTTTCCTTTAATCATCCCCATCTGATATTTTAGATAATGTAGCCATTTACTATTGATACTTAAGCAATTTCAATACAGAAGCTATTTGTGAGAGGGTTTTTTTTCTGAGTTATATTGTGCCCTTCTGTTGAAATTTTAGTCATCTTACAAAATGCTCTGACCTTACTGACATTATTATAGCACAGTCTTATTTATTTCTTCTAGAAAATATATGCTATTCAGAAATACCTGAATGGCTGAGGAGCCCAGAATCCAATTTCAGCACTCTTTTAGTCACATATAAACTTAAATGTTTTAGAAACTGGGTGAATTTTATTCCCGTAGGAAAGATTATAGTTGACATAGTTGTAGTGGTACCTATGGATGGTTTTAAATAACACAAAGGAAATCACAGACTTCAGAAGTCACAGTGAACAACCTGGTACCTCAAATTAAAGACTAATTTTAAAATCTACATAAATGCTTTCCTTGAAGGTTTTCTCACTATGGATTCACTTAGCTTTAGCAGTGAAATCATCCTCTTAATGCGTAAAAGGAGGTAGAGGTATCCTGAATGACATTCTTTCTCTATCCCTGGATGATTCAAAAACTAGTCCTGTCAACCATGTTTCATTTGGGATGGGGTGGATGCTACTGCAGAGGGCTAATAACAAAGAGCTCTTTTATGCTGTGTATAATACTTTAGGCCAACCTTGTTTTGCAAATAATCTGGTATTTCCTCTTGTATTCCCTGCTGTCACTGTTTGGAATTTGGGGTAAGTTGAAAGTTTTTTCTGAACCTGGCTTTCAGTCAAGTCCACCAGATGAAAGATCAGGTGCAGTACTTCTTGGGTAGTCAAGATACCTATTGAAAAGATAATCCATCACTGTAAACTACTGAAGTGTAATCTACTGTGTTGAACAGGCTGACACTGCTGTAGTTTTACGGGGTTTTTACAACATTTAGTGTGTTTACTGACCTTTCAGGTACAATAGAGTGATCTTTATAGGATCATGCATGTGTTTGAAAGACTTTTTTCTTTAAAATGCTTCCTAGATTGGGAAAAGAGTTATAGGAGACTTTTATTGAAATTTATTAAATCAAAGAGTCTTACAGTCCTGGTGGTAATAGGCATCAGCTTAAATAGTAGTAGGAGTTCTTTGATACAGGCATCTTATATCAGAATTGGGGCAAAATAAAGTATTTTAAAAATAGTAATTCTTTTTCCATTTTGCATCTTTCAAAAATACATTGCTACCCCTTCAGTTATTTAGTTTAATAGGTTCTTGAAGGAACTGACAACATCAAATGTTCTAGTCTTAAAATGTTAGTTAATAATTCATACACACACACACACATATATCGTATCTAAAACCCCTGTCAAGAAAATGAAGTTTTATCCATAGCAAGAAGACCTGTATCCTTTTTGGTTTTTGTTCTTTGGACAGTAATTTTTGTTAGTAAGTTCTGTCTTACTTTTATTAGTTTAATTATGGAAGGATCAAAATTATTTACATCTGAAAATACCTTCATAATTTTTTGTGTAGGCCATAGAAAATAGGAAATTGTTAATTAGGAAATTCTGAATTAAAATAGAGTTTCTGTTATAACTGTTGTTTATATCATACTGACCATATCAGCACTTTGAAAAAAATCAGTCAAATTTGATTGAAAAATTAGCTGGGAGGAATTTTTGTTTCAAAATACCTTGCAGAAAAAGAATCAACTTTATTGTGAAAGCTGTTTCAAAAGAATCCTTTACAAGAAAGGAAGTGCTTCTCCTGTGCTATTCTTTCTGCTTAAAAGGCATAATACAAAAATAGTACATCGTAAAACAGAATACAAAAACACAGTACAAATACATAGTGTTTGATATTTTATAGGTTTCAGACTTAGTGATAATACTGAATCATGAAAGAGCAGTGGAAGCTTTTGCCAAAGGAGGGAATCTTACACTTGGAGGAAATCTTACTGTGGCAATTGGACCTCTGGGGAGGTGGGTAAAATACTTTCCTAGTATGGGGTATATGCAAGATAATTTTTAAAGCTATATATAAACATTAATGTGGCTTTTTTTGCTATGTTACAGAACAACCTGGGGAACCTGTATGTTGACTGGACCATATTATTCTTGCCAATCACTTCTTTCTCTTTTTTCTTTTTCTTTCCCAATTAAGTCATTTATTGGTAGAAGGAAAGTGTTCTGAGATTTACTCTCTTTTCAGGAGACTGCTTGGCTAGGCTCAATGAAGAGCACAGGTGCTACTGTGCCTGATAGAACTATTATTTTCATTAATGTGTGAGTCTGTGCTCCCTGTCACCACAGATCTGCCTGACAGTAAATAAAAACTACACCAAATAATTTCTTTTAAACTTTTAACTGGTTAAACCAGCTTACTTTGAAGGATGAGATGAAATAATCATAGAATAATTTAAGTTGGAAACCAGATCACTCCAACCTCCTGCTCAAGGCAAGGTTTGTTATGACTTTTGATCAGGTTGCTCAATCCGTTTTTCCAGTTGAGTCTTGAAAATCTCCAAAGATGGAGACTGCTTAGTCTCTCTGGGCAACCTGCTCTGCTGGTCAGCTGTTGTCATGGGGAAAAGTTTTGCCTTATATCCAGTCAAAGCATTTCTTATTTCTATTTATGTCCATAACATTTTATTTTTCTTCCATACACTGCTATGAAGAGCTGACTTCATAGTCTTGATTAGCTCTTCATAGATACTTGAAACCTGCTGTTAGGTTCCCCCTAAATCTTCTCCAGGTTTACCAAGCCCAGTTGCCTCAGACTGTTTATGGTACATGTGCCTACTTATGTCTTTTTTTTTAATCTTTTCTGACAAAATAAAAGGATGATACCTAATTCATAGATGAGAGAGAGAGATCTGTGGATCAGGGTAGAGCAGTGAATGTCATCTGCCCTGCAAAGGCATTCAGTACACTGTCCTGCAACAACTCTCTGTCCAAGCTGGGACATAGGTCAGGGTGTGGCAGACTAGCAAACAATTGCTGACCAATTGCTATCGCAGACAGGTGAAGAACCAGAGCATCAGGTTTGAAGAGCAGTGGTGAATGATTCATATTGTAATCTGAAGCCAGGTTTCTGTGGAATTCCTCAGGAGACTCTTCTGGGACCTATCCTGCTTGGTAGTTTTATCAGTGACTTGGAGGAGCAGATGCAAAATATCCTCATCAAGTTTGTGGATGACACCAAATCAGGAGGTGCAGCCAATACAGTTCAGGGTAGAGCTGCCATTCAGAGCAATGGATCTAGAGAGTGTGGAAGAAGGATCCAGCAGGAAACCTGATGAAACTAAGGACAAGTGCTACGTTCTGCAGCCCTAGTTGGATGAACCCCCTGCAGTTATGTAGGCAGAGCCTGGCAGGCTGGGCAGCTGCCCTGTAGAGAAGGTGCTGGGGTCCTCATGTGCAGTGGGCTGAGCCAGCAGTTAATTCCTGACAGAAAAGACAGTGAACAGTGTAGGGGGCTGCATCAACAGGATTGCAACCAGTAAGGGGAGTGATAGTTCCCCTTTGCTTCACCTTTCATAGACTGTGCCTAGAATATTGTGTCCAGTTTCAGCCCTGCAGAAAGTAGTTTATAAACTATAGAGTGTGCAGTGAACAGCCAGGGACATGCAGCATGTAAACCATGAGGCTTGTTTAACCTAGATAAGAAAAGACCATGAAATCTTCTAAAAGACTACAATCCCTACAGGGGATCACCAAGAAGATGGGCCCCAGTTCTTTACTGAGGTACATGAGAGGTGATAGTCACAAGGTTCTATCTGAATATGAGAAACAAAATTTGACATGAACAAAATTTAGTGCCGATACAGGTTACTCAGAGTGTCTGTGAAATTATATCCTTAGAATTCATAAGAAACTGGCTACAAAAAATCCAAACAACCTGCTCTCAATTTGATGTCGTATCCATTTTGAGATGACTGCCTGAAGTGTCTTCAAACCTAAAATGTGATCCTGTGTTGGACAAATACTGTAATCTTCCAAATCTGTTGAGATCTGATGAGGCCTTACTTGAAATATTTTGTGCTGACCATAAAATCTAGAAGGATTTTAATATATTGAGTAGAGTTCCAGTCGCCAGTCCAAACATAATCCAATCATTTTAAAATGTGATTAAAATGTGGGTTAATACTTTTCAGAGGAAGCCTAATGGGAAGCATTCACATGAGGCATGTGCTTCAGTGGAAACCTTGTGAAACTAATTAATTACTTTGTACTGGGTCCTATCTGAAAATAGGATTAAAGTAAAATAAAGGATTTAAAGGAAAAGACAATTGCTGTTCATGCTGCAAAGCCATATTGAAGAATATCAATCATAATTTTTCTTCTAGAAACTTAGAAGGGGATGTTGCTCTAAGAAGCTCTGCTGCTGTCTATACATACTGCAAATCTAGAGGACTGTTTGCAGGTGTATCTCTGGAAGGAACCTGTTTAATTGAAAGGAAAGAAACCAATCGCAAGTAAGTTCTCTCCAAATCTAGAAGACCCTGAGATTAGCTCAGTTGGTTAGATCACAGTACTAATAATACCAAGGTTGTGGGTTTGATCTCTGCATGGGCCATTCACTTAAGAGCTGGACTCGATGATCCTTGTGGGTCCCTTCCAACTCAGAAGATTCTGTGATTCAGTGAAGGCATTGTGATGAAATTAACTAGGACACATTCAATTTGCTTGAAGAGTTTTTTATAAGATCATACTAATGGTTGGATTAGAGTTTTTTGAGCGGACAAGTGTTTCTTCAATTTAAACATCTTGCAATGGGTATTGAGATGATGCTGAATATTTAGAGATTATCTGTGGCAGGTTGACCTTTGCTAGACACCACGTGCCAATCGAGGTGCTTTGTCACTCCCATTCCTCAATAGAATGAGATGAGAAAAAGTATGATGACAAACTCAGGAGCTAAGATAAAGGCAGAGCGATCACTTACTAGCAAAAAAAAACCCCTTCAACATGGGGAAATTAGTTTAATTTAATGTTAGTTAATAAGAGGATAGGATAATGAGAAATAAGAACAAATCTAAAAAGCAACACCTTTCACTCACACCTTCTATCCCATTGGGCTCAACTTCACTCACAGCTTCACTACACTGTCCTCCCAAGCAGTGCAGGGCAATGGAGAATCAGGGTTGTGCTCAGTATTCCAAATTTACATCATTAAATTAGTTCTGTCATTTCTCAGTATATGATCAGCAGGAAAAATGCAGGGCCAGGGTTGGAGAGGGAAAGTGTTCACATAAAGTGAATTTATCTAGAATTTGAAATGTAATAATTATCAAATACCTGACGTATTGTTTTGTTTTGTTTTTGTATCAGGTTTTATGGGCAGGATATTCGTGCTAGTGCCATCCTGCTTGGTGATGTGCCTTTTCCTGCTCAAGCAGATGATCTTTATGAAATTCTAGCATCCTTCACTGAAGTGTATGAAAATGAAGAACAAAAAAATAATCCAGGAAAATCTGTAAGGGAACAAAAAAGGGTTTGTGCAGTTCTTTTTCACATAGGCTTTTTCTGTTCCTGAGCTATTCCTAGTCTGTGTTAATGCTGATGTTCAAGTGGCCTTCTTAACTTCTCTACTGGATGATTAAAGGTGTAGCATGTTGCAGATGCTGCATGTAATACATTTGTTCAAATATTCCCTTGATAGGCTCTTGTGGACAAGAATGTTGCTGGGTTTCCTTTGCATCCTCCAGAATAACAAAGTATATCCTTGTTTTATAATTGTTCATTATCAAATCTGAAGTGATGATTAGAAGTGTTAATCAAGTTAATTGCAAGTTGATGTGGATACTCTTAATTTTTCTGCTTTTTCTGTCTTCCATTCAAACAGTCATATTTACGATGTAATACTAAGACTGTAGAAGATGGTTTCCTGTAGATGTTGATAAACAATCATTTACTTTCAGCTTCGTTAAACCCATACTGAATTACTTCAGTGTCGTGTATGTCAGTAGTTTTTTGTATGCTTCTTGAGTTCCTACAAGTTCAGTGGAGAAAGAGTGACTTTAAATTTTTTTTCAGTGTATATACTTCTAGGCCCTGAAGTCACAATCTATGTCCAGATGTGATGCAACATTTTGTAAATATTTTTGTATTTTAGGTAAATGACCCACCTGCTAGACCATCATCTAGACCAGAGCCACCTAAACCCACTGTTAGACCTACACCACCAGGTTAAAATATTTTGATAATGATTAATTAATTCTCCTTATAAAATTAGAGCACTAAAGCTAATTGATATTATATATTTATTGTAATAGCTACCTCTATAAAAATGTTTTTTAATACTCTTTCTTGGACAATCACTTAAAGCATGTTGGGATAGTGCCATGAGTGCTAAACCTTAAAGGGTTTGTCTGTTTATTTTATATTAATAAACCTTTTCTCTCTAACAGATTTGCTTTAGTGTTTTTATAGTTACAGAGTCATAGTAGTTCAAAGGAATTATTCATGTTTATTGGATACATAGAAGTCCCACGGTACAGTGAAACTTCTTAGTAAAAAGAACAGTGTTACTAGAAACAGCTAGACCTAGTTGTAGAAACTTCTGGTTTCTAGAAATCAGGGTTTCTCCTTTAGGATGTCAATATCTTTTAATTGGTAGGGGTCTTACAGTAGAGCAGAAGAGGTAGAATTTGGCTCTTTGACAGTTTGTCTAGCAAAGTGCTTTCATTGCAAGTGATGCTTTACTGTGCATCTCCTGTTGTTAACGTTTTCCTGGTCAATTATATAAGGCAAAGTCCTTTTTTTTTAGTTCTGCACTGCACCTTATGTAACTGCAATCATTTAATAACTATTGAACTTATATTAGAAAAACAGTATACAAAATATAACAATATATGTTAGCATGTCATGTAATTTGCGTCTTTATTTTCTCTTCCAGCTAAAAAGAACACGAACAAACTTTATCCTGAACTTCCCAATGCTTATGCATCTGAGGGTAAGTACTAAGCTTACACTAATTTTACTAATGCAGTGTGGAATCTGAGAAGTCCTAGATATACTTTGAAAGATACCTAAAAGTATTTTTCATTATTGTCTATGTGTTAAAATGAGATTCAGGTCTTGTATGCTCTCCTGAAAATATTCCATAAACATTTTATTCCCTGACTTTAGATTCCAACAGCAGTGTTCTTTTTCTGAACAACAAAACTTCTTTTTTTTTATTCTGTGAGGTAGAAAAATGCTCTGAAAGTAGTAAAATTGTTGTATGTTACCACCTAATTGAAATAAAAAAGAAAGCTTATATAACAAACTTCTGTCCAAGTCCTTATGCAATGTACTATAATTCCTGTTTTAATTTTGAAAGTGCTTCCACGGATCACATCTGATTATGCTGACATAAGCACAGATTTACATTGCTTCTTGAGGTTTTTATATTGAAATAATTCTGCATTATACTAAAGATACTACTTGTTAGTTGTTCTATTCTGATTTTCTCACACTTAAAGCAGTTGCAACTCTAATAGGAGAATCTTACTCTGTCATATTTGCGATGTAACTCTTGAGTGATGGGCTCATCATCTGAAAACTTGTGATCTGTTAGGAAGAAGTTTTATTATAAAATAATTAGTCAGGTTCATTCAGCTGCTATAGTGTTTTCTCTCATCAGGACTCTCATCTTTCATAGGTAAAAGACTGTTTGCTGTTTCAAAGTCAGTGAAATAAATTGTTTCTCCCATGAAATATATTGATAAATAAATGTGTTCGTGGCTTCTACTAGGATCAAAACCAAGACCAAGACATTCCATGTTACATATATATGTTTAGATACATGAATATTCTCATACTATACTCATATTTTCACATATTGCATGTTCCACTAGAAAATAAAATTAATCAAAATATCACTTTTTTACTTTTGCAAAGAGAACTAAAATCAAGCTTGATAAAAGATCACGGTGGAAAGTCTCTTTCAGGCAGAGAGTAATTAGAGGTTTTCACTAAAAATTAAGATAAATTATGTGTCATTGACTTTACGTTCCTTTTCATATCTTCTCTCCATGCATGCAGTTGATATCTGCGTCTTTTGAGGCGACCAACATAGGAGGATCTTAAGCTGAGCTTTTCATGTGGCTTCCTGAGAATCAAAATTTGTTATTGTGTTTTAGGACTTTAACCAGGAAAACAATGATGCTCTAGTGGTCTGTACTCACTGGCTGTTATCCAAAAAGAAAGAAGAATTGACCTTCTCAACATTTAAACTAAGCTTTCCCAATCTTAAAAATTCCCTGACCAACTGAGGTTTCTAAAGCTTGCACACATGTGCAATATTGAAGGGAGTGTTCTTCTATTCAGGTTCAAGTGACAAGGTAAAAATCTTACAGAGCCATCTTGATGGCTTTCAAGGTTCTTTGAAATCAAAATGTAGACTTAATCAGTCTACTACTGAGTAAGATTTATAGCAATTTCTGGAAATACACAAACTTATCTTTGAGAAATGCAAGAGGCAGTAGGATCTTGTGTAAATGATTGCATGGTATATTTTGCTTTCTTTTGCAGATTATATTTCCATATGTAACAGTTCAAATGCTGTGTGAATCCACAGGAGTACTATATGTTTCTAAAGGCTAAAGAATTTTTCTTATCATGGGGAGCAGTCAAGGTTGAAATCAGTTTCCATGAGTGTTTCAACACTGTAGCCTACATGCATGTTGATTGGAAGCTGAAAAAGGGTTTCAGTACCTTTCACATCAGAAACAAAGGGTGTACTAGTGCTGGGGGATGCAACAGAAGGAGCCTTAAGGCCATACCTCCTGTCAATAATCTGTTTCTGCCTGTTGATAGTCCAAATTATTTCATCAGAGCTACCAAGCAGCTGTAGCATGTACTAGTCAATCTTTATTGCAGGAGTAGTGCTGCAACAGCTGTTTTTCTACAGTGAGCTGAAAGAAAAATATTCAAAATTTGTTGTGTCTTTCTAGTTTAAAAATTACATTTACATAGCTAATAGAAGAGAGAATGAATCTGATCTTTAGGAAGCTACATTTTAGGTATAATGGCTGATGCAAGGATAGGTTTTGATGTTAAGCAACAAGCTTGTCCAGGTTGCAAGTAATAAGAACTTGCCTTTGGTAGGGGAGGTTGGCAATGTGCTAGCAGGATTTGGTTTTGCAACAGTTATACAAGTATTAGAAAGGTTGAAACATTAATTCTTCTCATTAGATGGGAGAAGAGCTAGACTTGTGGATGAAACATTTTTAATTATTTTCTGTGGACCTGAATTATCTAGATAAGTAATGTAATATAACCTATTTCAAATGTAAGAAGAATGATAAATGAAAAACATGGTTTTCTAAATTGATAATGTGATACTTGAACTCAGATGCAAGGAGACTGTTTTCATGTAACTGAATAATGCTTAAGGTAATGCATTTAGTTGTAAAATGAGGTTCAGTAATGTCTTAAATGTTTCCAGAAACTTGGGAATACCACAGATTTTACTTAAATGCAATTTAAAAATTGGAGAGACCTTTTACAATTCTGGGAAATAAAAACCCAAAACAACCACAACAAAAAGACCACAACAAACTAATAGCTGATACAGTTACTGTGATTCAGTGAAGTATGAAGTGTCTACAGTAGTAGAGATTTTTCTGGAGACTGTTTAAATAGAGAAACTAGATTTGCTTATGAGTATGAAAGTTCATGCCTCCTCCCTTACTAGAATTAGGGATTTGTGTCTTCATTTTTTTAGTTGTCCCCTCTTTGTTGTAAAATCTACCAAAAGGGCTGACTGGTCCTTCCAAGCTTTACTACCACAATCTAGCTTTTCTTTTTCTGGACACATGATTTCTTTGGAGTTCTGCAGCACATCTGTAAGACAAATGACTTGTGATTCTTGAGTGACTACTTGGACATTGTAGACTCAGGAGAAGTTTATTTTATTAGGACAATTTTTTTAGACACATTAGGTTCATAGTTTGTCACACTAGACTATCTAATTCTAGATATTAGTTTTTCGTTAGTGTTATGATTTCTAGTTTTTTCTGCTTAGGGTTCTGCCATGGAGCAGCAAGTAATGAAACTTGTAGATAAATGATTACTTGAATTACTTGCCTATCCTCTTAACAATTTGCTGAATAATGTACAATTCTGAAAATGTGACAGTGATGTGGTTTCCCAGCTGAAGTGGTAGCAGCAAGAGTAGTGATCTGCTAGCAAAAATAGGAGTTGGGTTAAGGTAAATGTTTGTGAGAACTGAATCATTAACAGGCAATTTGTTCAAATCAGAAGTCAGATTTTTTTTCACTTTTTCTTCAGCTCAGCTAATCAGAAAAGGACTGTTTCACATGTTTGGAAAAGGATCACTTGAGATTGCCAAGATGCTGAGGCAATCAGGAAATAGACTTGAGGCAGAAGTGGGGATGAAAATGCAAGAAAGTTTTTCTTTCCAATCAGTGTTCTTTCACTGTTCATTCATAATTCTCAGAAGTCAACATGGGCTTGAATTCTTACAATGCTGTAAGACAAAATGCTCATATTAAACACAAAATCAATCCTTTTGGTAACAGTGTAAGTATTTTATCATAATTTGGAGAAAATAATGGTGCTGTATGCATTTTTTAAGCAGATTTGCTTAAGAAACCCATAAGAACTTGTGACTGTGAAGCCTAAGTGTTCAAGGATTTTTTTTTTTTTAGATTTTTCTCAGAAGCACTGGCTTTCTTACCTTCCACAAGTACCTGAGCTAAATATTTTTAAATTTTATCTTGAGCAAAAATATGTGCCCTCTTCTTTTGATTTTTGAACTGAAAAAATTATATATCTGCGGACATTGAACTCTCTGCTATTGTGCCTTAAATCAGCACACCCAAAATTGATTACAGTAAAATTATTTAAAAAAACCCACCAAAATATGAATTGTATCTAGGTTTTTTCCAGCAGAAACCTTTAACTTTGAAAATAAAATAAAATAAAATATTAACAGATTGTTATTGTCCCATTAGGCATATATTTGTATTCATACATACTGAAAGAAGAGCTGTATCAAGCATACTGATGAAGACACAGAGGCAGATGACAAATTTGTCACTGTTTTTAAGAAGCTAAAAAAACCCTTCTTCCTTCAATGATAATTTCAGTGATTTGTGAACCTCATTATTAAAAATTTATGCTTTCCCATGTGAACTTGTCTGCAGCTTTTAGACAATGTTTGTTGTGGCTTTCTTCACTATATTAAAGAGCACTTTCCTACCCAGAGGGTCTTTTTTTTGTTCCCTTCTTGTTTCCCTTTGAGACACTTGTGCTGTAATCAAATCACTTTTTGGTCTTCCTTGATCTTTCTTTTGATGATAAACAGATTGATGAGCTCTTTGTCATAAGTCATTTTCTCTTTCCTCTCAAAATTTAAGTAGTGTTAAAAATAGCAAATTCTGAGTTGTGAACTCACTGAGATCAGTAAGATGTGGGCTCCTAAAAGCTCTAATGAATTTGGACTAAACTCCAGTCCTTATCTTTTTTATTATTTATTTCTTTATTATTTATTTATTTATTTTAACCTTCTTGCAAATTACTAATCTATGTTAGAACACTTGATGCAATATCAACCCTTTTTTGATTTGGCGGTGCCATGAGGTGGTAAGCTCAGTTTGTGTTAACTAAATCCATCTCAGAGATGCTGATTTTCATTGTTACAGTTCTCCAGTAACCAGGCTGGCCCAGTTCCCTATAATTTCCAAGATGATTTGTGTTTCTTTCGGTAATCTATGAATGCCAGATGGTTCAGTGGATCTGTGAAAATCTCTTTCCTGAGAGAATTCCAAGACAGATTTTCATACCATCTGAAATGTATTTTGTCAAGGAAACTTCAGGGTCTGTATGTGAATTTGCTTTTCTTAGTACATTTTTGTGGCCAGTCAAAAATGTGTTAAATAAACCAACACAATTATATGGACTAAGAATTCATAGACTGCTTCTGAGGTAAAAAACTTAAAAAAA